ATATTCCAATTATGTTAAGAGAAAGTTGTATTCCCTAGGTCGCTTAAAAAAGCAGTAGTGACGCCTGTATTTAAATCAGGAGATAAAACATGTGTAAATAGCTACAGAGCCAATCTCATTTTTATCGGGACTTTCAAAAATTTTTAGAGAAACTTATAAACAATAGGTTGATAGAATACCTTGAAGACAAAAACTTGCTTTCCCAGAACCAATACGGCTTTAGGCAGAAAAGATCGACTAATCATGCAGTACACCACTTAACAAACTACATAGCTGGTTGTCTGGATGGTGAAATGCACGCCATCGGGATTTCCTAGACCTCGCCAAAGCTTTCTATAGTATATCTTGCTCTATACTTTTGAATAAGCTCGAAGCACTTGGGATATGGGGAACACAACTTCGCTTATTTTCGGATTATCTTAGTGATCGCCGTCAATGTGTGAAAATTGGTCAATACTTAAGTACTGAAGCAAAGAATACGGGCTATGGTTTTCCCCAGGGCAGCGTTCTGGGCTGTACCTTGTTCCTAGTTTATATTAACGACCTCTGCAGCCTGAAGATACCAAGTGGTGTCATAATATCTTATGCGGATGACACGGCTTTATTATTTGCAGCGAAATCTCGTAGTGAAGTTTTTGAGCTCGCTCAGACAGGCTTTAACATAGTGACTAACTGGCTATATAAAAATCTACTAACCCTAAATACAGATAAAACCAAATACATTATTATTTTTAAAAAAATATACAACTTATTTGTGGACTCACATGTCGCAAATGATCTGCTGAACCATCCAGCTGCCGGATTCTATGGTCATTTCACTTTCTGCTGTAATATGACCAGCATGCAAGCAACAATCAAGGACCTTACCCACACCTTCAACAAGAGGATGGAGGAATTTGAAGCCCAGCTCACAAAAACACCTGGCCCGCCTTCAAGTGTTGCCATCTGTCTAAAAAAAATTCTGCATTTAGAGCCTTTGTCTCACAGGCCCTACAACTACTACAGCAGCAGGTGGAGGCACTGTCTTATACTGTAGATAGTATAGAAATGCGTGGGCGACGGAAGATCCTGCTCTTGCACGGTATTGAAGAGACAAAGGATGAAAATACTGCTGATACTGCCGTACAAATCATCACACAGCACCTTAATCTCCGGGACTTCAATACGGATGATATCAAGCACTGTCAAAGGTTGGGTCGGGCCACTTCCACCAAAAAACCCAGACCCATTCTCATTAAGCTTGTTGAGGTGACTGTCCGAGACAACCTGTGGTACAGAAAAACGAAGCTGAAGGGCTCTGGTCACGCTGTCGGAGTTCTTGACCAAAACTAGACATGATTAATTCATGGCAGCCCGTGAAAAGGTGGGAGTTGCAAGGTGCTGGACCAAGGAGGGCATTGTCTACGTCTTGGGGCCTGATGAAGCGCGTCATCGAGTGGTGTCCTTAGCCGAGCTTAACAAAGTCCTCACCATATCACCGAAGCCGACCATCGCAGTACTGAAGGCCACCGGGACGAAGCCTAAGCGTGCAGCGGCTGCTAAAAAGTAAATACTCATCTCGCATACATTGCACAGTCCAGGTACAATTCATCACTATCATATCAGTAACATATTGTTTACTTCAACTTCACTTAGATACCTTCATATACTTAATTTTGCAAATATTATTATCCCTAACCCACATTTTCTGTAAAATAATCCTTAGGTAAACAATAAATTATTGTTACATACTGACATTTTACTTCAAACATTTAATGTCAAAATTGTCATTGCTGCGTATTGTTCCATTATACAATTTAATCCTATATTTGAAACAAAGTCTTTTAAACATATGTACCTGGACTGAAAGTGAGTGCTTATTTGTTTTCTTTTCTTTAGTATTTTTTTATTCTCGATTTTTTTTTTTATTTCTACTGGTTTTTGTCATTTGTTGTGTTTCTTTTCTATTTTTTTTCTCTCTTCAATTTCATTATTTCTGTTACTGGTCATTGTGTCACTGGCAACCGGCAGATGGAGTGAACCGATAAATATTTTTAGATATCTAATACATCCTTTTATTATACTTTTATTTAATATCGATACTTACTTACTTACCTTTATCTGAATATTTTATAAAAATACACTGTTAATTATTTTTTCTAACCAACGACTTGGAAGCTATAAATGTCTTCGCCTGATAGTGATGATACTACTGACTTTTTGTCTGCCTGTAGTAATTCTAGTTCTCAGGGTGATCCAACAATCATTGAGACTCTCTCATCTCGGTTCTCTGACGTTCCCAAAAATCTCAACCTTGTACATATAAATGCTCAAAGTGTTCCGGCTCACTTCTCCGATATGCTGGCATGCTTTGACTGTACGAATTTACACGCTATACTTGTCTCTGAATCGTGGCTTAAGCCCTGCTTACCCTCTTCTGCATATACTCTTCCAGGATTCAACCTCATCAGGAATGATCGCGCTGTGGATGGCGGCGGCGGTGTTGCAATCTATTTACGCTCTTATATCCCCTATTCTGTTATTAGTATATCGCCGCAGCCCCCTCCAACGAATGCGGGTGAACATCTATTCCTTGAGGTTGAACTTCTTCACTCCAAAATCCTTCTTGGCGTCTTCTATTGCCCATCCTTACGCATCGACTTCTTCTCATCGTTTGAGTTGCTCCTAGAACAACTTACTCCTTCGTACAGTCATACCGTAATCATGGGTGATTTCAATACCTGCCTTCTCAAAAATGATTCTCGTTCGTCGACTCTTCAATCTATCATCCAATCTAGCAATTTATCTATTCTTCCTTTAAATGCAACGCACCATTTCCCACACTCTGCTCTTTCTCTGCCAGACCTTATCCTTGTTTCCTCTCCTAACCTGGCAGCTAAACACGGCCAGTGCTTTGCTGACGAGTTCTCCTACCATGACTTGCTGTATCTATCTTATCATCTCCGACCTAAATCAAAGATTATTTTGCAACGAAACTTCAAGGGCATGGATGTGGATACCTTGGTAAGGGATACGAACAGTATTGATTGGGCTCCTCTCTTCAGTGCTCATTGTATAGATGACAAAGTGGCGTTTTTTACCTCCAAATTAACGTCTCTATACAATAAACCAGCGCCAATCCAAGAAATGAAGGTCAAACGCCTCCCGTCACCTTGGCTAACTGCGGAGATAAAAACGCTTATCAAGAGGAAAGCGTTAGCAAAATCAAAATTTAAAAAGAATCCAAGCGAAAGTAACCGGGAGAAATATGTATCCATCAGGAATCATTGCAACAAGGTGTGTAGGAACGCTCGACGCCGATATATTCATAGCTCCGTTGAAATCGGGGATCCAGCTAAAGTCTGGAAATTTTTAAGGTCACTGGGAGTAGGCAAATCTGTTAAAGATTCCATTTCTAATGATGTAAACTTCGACTTACTTAATCAACATTTCTCTGCTTCGTCAAACTTTGATAAAATGACTAAAGATGCTACACTAAAACATCTTACTTCTGCCCCGACTCCTGACTGCTCTCCCTTCTTTTTTAGTCAACTTGCAGAGTGTGATGCTAGGAAGAGTATCATGTCTATTACGTCGAATGCAGTGTGTTCTGATTGTCTAAGCCGTAATATGATCCTCCCAATCCTCGATGAAATCCTTCCTGTTATTTTTCATATATTAAACTATTCAATTACAAAAAGCGTATTTCCATCAGCTTGGAAGGATGCTGACATTATACCCATCCCCAAAAAGAAAAACCCTGCATCCTTTTCTGATTACCGCCCTATTTCCGTCCTCCCCTTTCTCTCCAAGGTCCTTGAACGTCTTATTTATTCTCAACTTAAAAGTTTCCTATCCAGAAACCTGCTCCTATATCCTCTCCAGTCCGGTTTTCGACCCGGGCACAGTACCACTACTACCTTATGAAAGAATACTACTCCATTACTTGCATTTTACCATCACTTTATTTACTGTATCACAACTAATACAATTTATGCAACTTCTGAGGCAACCTTCAACGTCGATAGCTCGAAAAAGAGTGCCCAAATTGAAATAATGTACCAAATGGCTGATACTTATTATTCGCTAGTTTAAGTCGGTGTTGCCAGACAAAAGTGAAAAAGGTGTACTAAATTGGTGTTGTCTCAATAAATATTATGAACCCGATTATTGAATATGCTAACATTCGGCTAATCCTGACGTCAAACGTGGCCTCACGTTTAAAACAAGAGAAATACGAACAAGAGGATTTTAAAACAATCACAAAATTACTTAGTTGACAAATAATTAGATAACTATTGATTATTCAATGACTTAGAAGTAGCGACTCACTCTTAAAGTAAACATCGCATACAGGCACTCTCACCTGTAGCGACTCACTCTTAAAGCTAAACATCGACTACAGGCACTCTCACCTGTAGCGACTCACTCTTAAAGCTAAACATCGCATACAGGCACTCTCACCTGTAGCGACTCACTCTTAAAGCTAAACATCGACTACAGGCACTCTCACCTGTAGCGACTCACTCTTAAAGCTAAACATTGACTACAGGCACTCTCACCTGTAGCGACTCACTCTTAAAGCTAAACATCGACTACAGGCACTCTCACCTGTAGCGACTCACTCTTAAAGCTAAACATCGACTACAGGCACTCTCACCTGTCGCGAATCACTCTTAAAACTAAACATCGACTACAGGCACTCTCACCCGTAGCAGCTCTCTAATGATCACTATTATATTTTAGGTGATTTATCACTATCACTACCTCAATAATATATCATCATTTATATATCATCGATCATATACAGCTATAATATTAATTCACTTAAATAGATTCTACACTATTCAATAATTTAGATTACACTTTGCAGCATGTATTATTTGTTTAACACAACACTTCACTTCGCTTTAACTTAATTAGTGTAAAACATAGTTTACCTTACCTTAATATATATATTATGCAATCACAATAATCATGAACGTACTTCGCTTTCGTAATCTATGAAACATTGCTAACTTTTACTCTGAGTCACTCGATACAGCATCATAACTATAGACAAGCCAGGGGTATAATTTATCGACGGCATAAATCGACCTATAAGGTTTTGAACCTGCTTTTCGAGTAATTGGAGTATCCTCTATCTCATACCGATCATTACCAATTATTTTAGAGATTCTATACGGCCCCACACATTTAGGTAACAATTTGCGACTCTGCCCAGGATCTGTACGGATATCTTTTTCGACGCGAACTAGGTCACCTATTTTATATTGGGTAGGTTTCTTATGAGACCTGTTAAAACGCTCTTTTTGTTTCTGTTGGTTTATTTGAATGAGTGAATCTGCGTCGGATCTTATTCTATCACGATCAAGCAAGGAATGGGATTCTGAAACTAGGGAATTCATATAGCTATCTGAGGCACCAGTTGTTTGAACACCAAACAACATTTCCGAGGGAGTACGACCGGTTGATTTGTTTATGGTGTTATTCAATGACCACTGTATTTGAGGTAGACACAAGTCCCACTCGTTATCCGGTTTGTCATGGTTTGCTGTCGTTATTGCGTCAACTATGGTCCGGTTGTACCTCTCCACCTGGCCATTAGCCCTAGGACATGCTACAGCATTTAAGATGTGTTTTATACCGCGTTTATTAATAAAATCGGAGAACTCCCTACTAGTGAAACCAGTTCCGCGGTCAGATATTAGGCGTCGTGGCATGCCAAATAATGAGAAATATTCTGTAAATATCTGAATGCTAGTGCTACTTTTAACGTTTTTCACCGGTTTTATATAAATAAATTTCGTAAATGCATCAATTATTACTAAAATATGACAGTTCTTCTTTTTACTGAGTGGGAAAGGACCACAGTGGTCGGTATGTAAGGTATCAAACGGTTTGGTAATTTTGGGGATGGGATGAAGTTCCCCTTCTTTAGCTCCCGCTGGTAACTTATTATGAGCACAGCTTAAACAGGACTTACAATATTTTTTAATGAAACGTCTCATTCCCTTAAACCAATAAGTTTGCTTAATCCTACTATATGTTTTATCAAAGCTAAAGTGTCCGGCATTGTCATGATTCATACGAACTATTTGCCATCTCACTGACTTTGGAACTACCCATTTTAAATCTACGTCATCGTTTTTATCTTTAACTTTTCTGTATAAACGGCCATTCTTAACAGTGTAGTTCCCATGAATATCGACAACATCTTTTGTTGTTGGATCACCTAGTACATTAATTATTCTTTGAATTTCAGAATCTTGTTCTTGAACTGTGCGCAGCCATGCGTCATCATCTATTACTAAAATATCTACCGATTTTGTTTCGTTTTGAGATTCAAAGGGACTGGGGTTACGTGACAGTGCATCTACATGAGTCATTTTGGCACCGACTCGATGTTCGACAGTGAAGTCGTATTCCTGCATCGATATATACCAACGCGCCACTCTCGGTATCAAATCCTTTTTGGTTATTGTACTACGTATAGCTGCGCAATCAGTAATAACTTTAAATGATTTACCTAACACATAAACTCTAAATCTATTTAACGCGCAAACAACTGCCAAGGTTTCAAGCTCATAAGAGTGTAATTTGCTTTCATCAGCTGTTGTTTGACGACTGTAATACGAGATAGGATGAAGTTTGTCATCGGACTTCCCATGTTGTAGCAAGATAGCTCCTATACCAATTTTACTAGCGTCGGTGTGAATTTCCAACTCGGCCTCCGAGTCGTATAGAGCCAATACCGGCCGCGTTGTCAATTTAGTTTTTAAATCATTAAACGCATTAATCTGAGCTTCATCAAAACACCAGAGAGTGTTTTTCTTTGTGAGAGATGTTAATGGTTTTGCTATTATAGAATAATTTTGAATGAATCTCCGGAAATAACTTGTAAGGCCTACGAATTGCCGTACCTCATGAACGTTTTTCGGTAACGGAAAGTCTATCACGGCGCTGATTTTGGCAGCCCCGGGGCGTATACCATCGGAACTAATTTCATAGCCCAAATAGTTTATACGAGTCTGAAAGAAGTTACACTTTTTCAAATTTAGTGTTAAATGAGAAGACCTTAATAATTGAAAGACTTGTGCCAATTTATCTAAGCCCTCATCGACCGACCGGGACATCACTAGTAGGTCATCCATATAAGCTAACGCCAGATTTTGTTTACCCTTGAGCATACAATTTATTGTCCTCTTTTTTTTTTTTTTTTTTTTCCCGTGCGGAAATCCCCTCGGATACCACCTGTCGGTGGCATGTCGGACTCGAACCGACTAAAACCGCACGCCTTCGCCGGGTACTAATAGCCGGGGAACCAGGTATACCCTAGAAAGGAAGGCCCTGGTGCCCCGACATACCTCGGGTCATCTACAGACGAGTAGACGACCCCCGCCCCGTGTGGGAACCCCATGTTCCCTGTGCTCCCTGAAAGCGAGCGCGCTTCGCAACGCGCTCGCCGCCACCCCGGCCTGCTTCTGCTAGGGTGACAGATGGCCTCACCTGTCACCCCCAGGCCTGCGCTTATGGAGGACGGAGGTCGTTCTGCGACCTCCGGCGCCTGAGTGACCTGCGCTGCCTGGCCCGTGCCCGGGCCTGGCGGGCCGGGAGAGTTCTAAACCTCTCCCGGTCCCGCTCCGCCGTCTCCTTCGCGAGCATAACTTGCTCGCAGAAGGAGACGGCAGAGTTCCACGCACTCTCGCTCCGCACGATAGCCGCAATCAGGCTATCGAGCGAGAGAACTCCCACTCCGATGGCCGCCACGAGGTCTCGCCTCTGCTCAACCCACGCCGGGCACTCTGCCAGCGTGTGGAGAGCCGTGTCCACGGTCTGGCCATCGCAGTGGTGGCACTCAGGCGTTGGCTCCTTGCGGATCAGACACAGGTGATCTCCGAAACATCCCTTCCCAGTGATCACCTGCGTCAATCGGTATGAGAGGGTCCCGTGACGCCTCTCGAGCCAATCCTCCATAACGGGTCTTACCGCCGCAATGACGGCGTGCCCGGCGCTCGGTTGCCCGAGTCGTTCCCTCCACTCCCCTATGATGACCTGGCGGAGTTGGGATTTCCGGTCCTCGATTTCTCGAGTCTCGGGGCATCGACCCAACTCCTGCGCCTCCTTGCGCCACTGATACAGTGCCGCAAGGGCTCTCGCCTCCAGGTCCCACGGTGGAGTTCCGGCCAGGAGACTCGCCGCCTCAAAGGAGATCGTGCGGTACCCCCTTATGATCCTGATGGCCAGCATTCGCTGCGGTCGCCGCAGTATCGCGACGTTGCTGGCCTTCAGGGCCCCCGCCCATACTGGGCACCCGTAAAGGGCCATGGACCGCACAACCCCCGAGTAGAGTCTCCGGCAGGAGTCATCGGGTCCCTTCATGTTGGGCAGCAGCCGCGCCAACGCACGCGCTGCCCCAACCAACTTGGGGACCAGACCTCGGAAATGATATCCGAAGTCCCATCGGCCATCGAGTACGAGCCCCAGATACCTGATCGAGGGCTCGATGCCGATGCGAGTGCCTCCTACCGTGAGGCTAGATCCCTCAGGCGGCTTCCTCCGAAGCCCGTGGAAGAACAGGGCCTCGGACTTGTGCAGAGCCACCTCGAGACCCAGCCGCCGGATACGCTCAACGACTTGGGCAACCCCGGCCGTGGCCCTCAGGGTTGCCTCGTGGTGCGTCTTGCCGCGCGCCGTCACGAGTGTGTCGTCCGCGTAGCACACGACGGCGACACCATCCAAGAAGGCACCACGAAGCACCCAGTCGTAGCCGATGTTCCACAAGAGTGGCCCTAACACCGACCCCTGCGGAACACCGCACGACATTTCACGCCTACCGAGACCGGTCCTACTGGGGTAGACGACGGCTCTCTCCGACAAATATGCCCCGACTATGCGGCGGAGATAGAGAGGCACTTCGTGATACACGAGCGCCTCCCTGATGCAGCTCCAGGGCATAGTGTTGAACGCGTTGGCGATGTCCAAGGACACCGCCAACACCACTTCACCCCGGGAGACTGCTTCCTCCGCCAGAGCCTTCACGCGCATGATCGCATCCACGGTGGAGCGCCCCTGACGGAAACCGTACTGGTTGTCCGCCAGATCCGGCCCAACCATCACGAGATGCTTGACGAGGCGCCTTGCAATCACTCTTTCAAAGAGCTTGCACACCTCGTCAAGCAACACTATGGGCCGGTAGGCGGACGGTGAGTCCGCCGGGCGCCCCTCCTTTCGGATGAGGACCAGTTTCCCCGTCCTCCACAATTTCGGAAACTGGCCCCGCTCGAGGCATGCGCTGAAGAACCCTCGCAGTCGGGGCTCGAGAGCCTCGTCGACTAAGGCCAGGACCCACGCTCGGCCAGGAATGCCATCGGGTCCCGGGGCGGTGTTTTTGGCTTTAAGCCGTAACACCGCCACCCTTAGTTCCACCCCAGTGACTTCAGGCACGTCGTCGTCATCCACGTTAGGCGCCTCAAGCGACGGAGGCGGAGCCATCTGTGGCGGAGTATGCTCCACCACTCGCGTTGGGAACAGGGAGCCAACGACCCTCTCAAGCAGCTCTGGCTGAAGACACCGTGTAAGCGGCGGGGCCCATGGGCGCATCTTGCCCCTAACCATACGGTAGGGGCGTCCCCACGGATCCCGCTCCAGTGTCTCCAGCATCTCGCGGCGGGCCTCGCTCTTGGCCCGCTTTATCGCTGCCTGAAGGGTCCTCTTGGCAACCCTGTAACCCGCTAACAGCTCCGCCTCTCTCGCTGCCGCATCTTCGGGGCGGCGACGCCCCCTGCGGAACCTGGACCACTGGCGGCGCGCGGTCACGCAGGCTTGACGCAGCCGTGCGATCTCCGGCGACCACCAGTAGACCTGGCGCCTTGCAGTATTGGGCTGAGCCCTAGGCATCGCCGCATCGCAGACGCGGGTCATGGCCTCCCGGAACCACTGTGCCTCAGCATCGACGTCGACAGGCCTGTCCGGCGCAGGAGCCCAGGCCTGTACGATGGCGGCTTCCAGGAGGAGGTCGCGATCTAAGCGCTTGAGCGCCCAACGTGGTTCAGGTGGTGCCGGTCTGACCGGCGCGCCATCTGCAGGGGCGGAGACGTCAAACCGAATATATCGGTGATCCGAACCTGTCTCCTCCCCGACAACGACGCGCCAGCCTTGGACACGACGCGCTAGCGAGGGGCATGCGAACGAAATGTCCACGATCGAACTACCCCTCGCCGTCACGAACGTGGCCACGGCCCCCCGGTTTAGGAGAACTAGGCCGAATCTTTCAGCCCAGTTCTCCAATGCCCTGCCCCTCGGGTTCGTGCGCAGGGAACCCCAAGCCTGCGACCAGGCGTTGAAGTCCCCCAGCACAAGAACCGGGTGGGGGCGACAGGCATCGACGACGACGGCCAGCTGAGCG